GCATAATGCATCCGAAGAAGTGGGCTGTAGTCCATGAAAGCTTATGCTCTAATAAATTTGTTAGTCTCTAAGGTGCCACAAGTACTCCTGTTCTTCTTTTTTGCGGATACAGACTAACACAGCTGCTACTCTTTAGCCTAAAAGTAAACCAAGTTGATTAACAAAAGAACATAGGTTATGTGATGCAAAGTAAAAGAAATAAAGTTAGAGAGGGTTACAAACAAACAAAAAGTAAAAATGCGCTTTCTAATGGCTAAGATTTAACTCAGTAAGTTCAAGGTTGATTTCTTATGAATCTTTTGTTCCAGAACACTTCAACCCCATTGGTTAAAGAGCCCATCTTTCCCAGCTTGCAAGAGCTCTGGCCCCTTGTTCAGTGATGGATGCCAGGATGGCTTATTCTTTTTCCTTGAAACTTCCCAAACCTCACGGTTTTGTCCAGACGCTCGGGATGACCTCGTGCTGTTCTTCCCTTCCTGTAGACTTCCCATGTTTTGGGTCACAGTTTGGTTAATTTCATTGGAGACATGTAGATAGACAAGAGGGAAGGCAGCTGAGAGAAAACCTCTCTCTCTGTGTGTTTGGGCACAGATTTTAAAGCTTAATATCATTAATTATCTACATTTCCTCATATAGTATTAATACATATATTTCACAATGATATTGATCACCAGTGTGTCATTAGCTTCCAGAAAAGACCTTACTTGATCCACTTTTACAATACAGTAATATTGTATACAATCAGTTGATTTAGTTATTTGAAGTTTTTAGCCCCACCCCCACCCCAAGGCAGTCTCCCACACATGCAAGGTTGATGGCTTAGTTTCCGTTTTATGTAAATGTGCCTTCATTATCTGTGCCTGAGGACAATAGAATACACATTTTCTTTGTCTAAGACAGACTGGGCTTATGCACTGCTTGCCAAACGCATTTCAAGAACATAATTCTAGCACATACTTGTAACTCTTTGAATGTACCCTGTACTTACATTATGGAAGAATATTAATGATCAGGGAGTTGTTAGTTTTCCAGTGGTATCTTACATGGCACCATTTAGCTACAGATTATGACAACAGTGTGTTATGTGCAGTGAGTATATCAGTCCTGACACAAGCTGCTGATACAGAGTAGTGAACCGCAGGTAGGTCTGTGTCTCACCACCCTATCCATGAACAGAATGGCCCAAAGAGAGATATTGGTACAATTATTTTATTACAGGCATTTAGATGGAACCCATCTCTGTGGTATCCAAGGGCTTTATAAAGCTTAATTTGACACCTGCAGCTGCACCTGCTTGCAGCTTTACCAGTCAGCTACGAATCCAGGATTTCATCATTTTAGATGTCCTGGCCAAATAGGTGCCTCTTGCCAAATAGGTACCCTTCCAAAAGCTAGGTGGGCTCAGTAATGTCCACAAGGAGTGAATATCAGATAGGAAGACCCAGTATCAAGCTTTACCATCAGCACCTGCAAGCATCTCACCTTGTGGTAGGGTCCAATTCTCTGCTGGGGTTAATGGGCTCAGCTCTCTCAACTTAAGTGGTGCGTTGTCCACTTACTCCAGCAGAAAACGTTCTGGATGAGCACAGATCACAAAGTGGATGGGAGGCAGTTCTTGAGATGACATCTTGAGATAAAACTTTAAAATAACTTTAAGTCTCTCTCTCAGCCTAACTAGTACCTTGAATTTCACCCAACAGTCATTTGGCTCCAGTGCAGCCTAAAAACATAATGCTTCAGCCTTCAGTAATAGAAGCGCTTAGGGCATACGTGCCCATATTGTTATAGGTTTAGTGCTGGCAGTATTGTTAGCACAGCACAAAATGAAGTTAAGGACAGTCCCTGCCCCAAAATGTTTACAGTCTAAAAGACAGATATATTGATCAAACAAGCTGCGTTGGGAGAGCCAGGGGAGGAGAGTTAATTGAAATTTTATTTCACAAATGGGTAAATTGAGACACCAGCAGATTAAACTCCTTGTCCAAAGCTGCACAGTGGCTGAGTGGTAAAGTCGTAAATGGAATCTGTAAGTCCAGACCCCAATCTCCTTTTCCAACCACTAGACAACATTATCTCCCTTACCTTGTGAACTGTATGGAATATGCAGTATTGTTATAGCCTGTCGGTCTCAGGATATTAGAGAGATAAAGTGGGGGAGGTAATAAAAGATATGGTCCAATAAAATATATTACCTCCCCCACCTTGTCTCTCTGTATGGAATATGTCATCTGATGCAAGATGACAACATTTTCACCTTGTTCAGGGAAAGTAAAAAACACACTGCCCTTCAGAAAGGGTCTTCGGGTATGATTTTATTCAGTGTTCCCAAAACAAAAAAAAACCACCTTTGAAGCTCACAGACATCACTCATTAAAATATTATTGTGCCTGTTTGTTTGGTTTCCCTCTGCCAGACAAATGAAGAGACCACAAAGTCAAATCAATGGGAAGCACCTCTCAGCCCTGCCAAGGCCTACTGAAGTCTGTGCAAAGACTCCCAGTGTCTTCAATGAGCTTTGCATCAGTCCCATATGTATTGGAAAAAATACTACTGAACAGCATAGCTTGACAGCAGGGGCATCTGTAAATACTGCAGTGTGAATTCTGCATTTGAGAGCATGGAAATGAGGGTCTGTAACATTGTTCATAAACACATTACAGAATAAAAACCTAATTCACAGTATTGCACCATTTAAAAGTGATTAAAATGAGGAAATCTTAACATTGTGGGGTTTCCCCCTCTTCTTTTAGCTATGGACCAAGGAGTATGCTCTGTCTGCTGTGATGCAAAAACACCTGTCAGAGAAACATGAGAAGATTATCCAAGGTGTTTTAAGCCGATTAGGTGGCCTCAGTGAGGAGTGAGTATGGTCTTATCACTTTTAAGCAATGCTGTAAAACTGCAGGTATAATGAAAAACTCTAGGATAATCCAGGCTTGGGTGGGGAGTGATGAAGAGGGACTCTTCAATTATTCATACAGAGAGAGAATTACCATAGGTTTTAAATTGAATGAGCATTATTTTTCCACTAGCTAAATCTGCAAAAATCCTATGATAAGGAAAAGCAGACATCCTCACTATGTCATATTAATGCTTACTAGTGATCATGATGGGTTACACATGGATCTTTCTTCCTGGTAGGACAATCTGTGGTTTGTCAAAGGGTTTGTTCTCAGTACATTTATTCTTTTTTCTGAATCACCCCTAACTTTGCACTCATAAATTTGCCTGCTACCTAGGAACTTGATTTCTCTGTCTCACTTTGTAGCAGGCCAGGGTCCCTGCTATACACCAACCATAGCCTCCCACAAGATGAAGTGCTCAGTTCACTGGTCTTCTCTCTTGACCTTTAATCCTTTCTGCTTTTAATCCGATATACAACTGTACATACCTACCATTTACTTCTTCCTGCCCACTTCCTGTCTTAATGAAGAAAACTACAACTTCCATCTCCTCTATTTCAGCTAAATGTCTCAGATACAGTTCCTTTGGGCAGGAGTAGCCTTCTCAATCAACACAACTCCAGGTCTTCCGTCTGTCTTTTTTCTTAAGTCACCAAGCGTCTTCACTGGACTATGACTTTGACATAGATTTCAGAGTAGCAGACATTCTCCTAGAGTATGCATGCAGATCTACCTATCACTGTCTCTGCAATATGCCACTGTATACCACAGTCTTGACACCACCTTTTGCATAAGTCCTTAGTATTCCTTTATTTCCTCTGGCTATTCAATTCTTCTCCAGGACTTCCATGTCCTGAATCTCCATTATGTTCAGAAAGCTGATGCCACCCTTCTAACACACACAACACACACTGTAGCTGCATGCCTACCTTGCCCCACATCCTCAGACAATTCCCTTAGCTCCCCATCCATGTCAGGGGGTGGCTCAAAATTGCCCTCTATTTCTTAAAATGCACCATGAACTTCCTCGCTCCCCTCCACTCAACTAACACTTGTCTCATCTCTGTCCCACCACACAGTACCATCACTGCTGGTGGCAAAAGAGTGCGCTGCAGCTCCTGAAATTTGGAATAACCTTCCCGTATATCCAGCTACATGCACTTTCCATCTCATTTCAAATGAAAAAATCTTTTACTCCATTATATAGGCTTCTTAATTTCTTTGCCTCCTCTCCTTTTATTTATTTATTTTTTACTTTGTCACTACAAAATTGGAAAATTGTCATAGTGACACCTGTACTGTATAACTCTGTAAAGCATTTTGGGAATATCATTTGTATGACAGACCCTGCATTGTATTTGTTGCAACTCTTTCATCTATGAGTCACGACCATCATTGTTGAACATAAATACGCAAAATAAAGTAGTTTGGTTGATAAATGGAGATTAAAAAGCCATGATCCCTTTCACAGGTCTGCTAAATACATATTTCGGAAACACAGGCTCTTGCTGTGTTCGGTTCTCAGAAGGTTAGCTGTCCGAAACGTCGCTATGGCTACTCTGACTCACATGAAAATGTCCCAGAAGAAAAGCTTGCTTCAGGAGCTAAGAGAACAACATACTCTGCAAAAGAGTTCCTCACACTGTCAAGATGAACACCAGTGGCAACTACAGAACGCAATGGTATTTATAGTTTCCTGACCATTTTCGCCAGAGTTCTTGCCTTGTATAATGTCTGGCATTGAAAGCAGTCTTAGGAGTCCCAAAAAATTAAAGAATGACAAGGAAAAGAAATAACCTCTATTCAAAAATTTACCCATCATTGACATGTAAAGTGCCTTAGCACAAGTATCATCGTTTCAATAGAAAATTATGGTTTCCTGCAGCCTTAGGTATACAAAGGACATCACTCCTCCTTTAACTGTAAGGCTACTTTAGCAAGAATAACAAAGATTTTTGTTTTTTATTTGATATGAAAGCAACAGTTGAAACATACAGTGCTAGCATGTAAAGGAAACAAGCCCATGCAACAAGATGAGAGAA